CTATCCTCTACCGATAGCCCAAAGCAGTTATTTCTAAAACAGAAAATTAAATGCACAATGGATATTCAATCAACATTTCATTTCCTCATTTCTCACAATTAATTATCCCAATTAATTAAACAATGTGATTAGGCCATTTTTTCCATAATTACCATTTCAACCCTTAGGTCCCATTTTCATCAATGATTCAACAATCATTTCATTTTTTCATGCCAAACATGCATCTAGGTTTATTATGAATAAAACCCCAACTTTTGTAAAATTACACAAAAGCCCCAAACTTTCACAAAATTACCAAACCAAGCCCAACATCTCAAAATACCAAAATTTAAAGACAAAACCCATAGAGAGGAGTAGGTTATCCCTACCTCAAATTCGGAGTCCCAAAGGAGAAGACGACAAAACCCAACGTGCTCCAAAACCCGAGATTTTCAGATTAAAATGAAGCCCTCGACGATCAACAACTTTTTTGTAAAGGCCAAAGGTGAGTAAATCACTCCTACTAGATCAAAACCTAGAGAGAAGGTAGATTCTAGAGTGAGAGGCTCAACAATGGTGTTTTTGGAAGAGTATGAGAGAGAATGTAAAGGCCAAAGGTGAGCAAATCACTCCTACTAGATCAAAACTTAGAGAGAAAGTAGAGTTCTAGAGTGAGAGGCTCAACAATGGTGTTTTTTGGAAAAGTAGGGAAGAGAAAAGAAAGTAAAAAGTGATTTGAAAAGTCACAATTTCGGGACTTAAACCCAGTCTCCCGCTCGAGCGTAAAACACCCCGCTCGAGCGTCACTCACAGACTCCCGCTCGAGCGTCCAAACTTCCGCTCAAGCGTCGGATGCACTCTCCCAGCATTTATACAGAACCAGGCCTCCGCTCAAGCTTCCAACTCTACGCTCGAGCGGCACTCAGACAACCCCGCTCGAGCGGCCAATCCCACGCTCGAGCGTACAACGCTACACAGGAAAATACTGAATGGGTGTAATCTCCGCTCGAGCGCCAAAAGAAATACTTACATAGTACTCCGTGCCAAAACAAAGAACTTGTTAGCAAATATGCATGATCCAAGTCCATGTTAAGTGTCTAATGCAACGCATACAGGATGTTGCTAGAATACAACTACCAACATCCACGGACACATGTCCGGATCACTATACAACAAGGGTAAACCCGGGATCGCTATAACCTCCCCCCCTTAAAGAATTTCGTCCCCGAAATTAAGCACAAGTTTTCAAAAACAAGTTTTTCTCCATTTTAAAAAATGTTACACTTGAACATTCAACAATTCGACCCATTACCGGTCATCCCATCCCTTTAAATAGAGACATATCACAATATGTAAACTTTTAGACAATGTTACAATTTAACATTCAACAATTCGACCCACTACCGGTCATTCCATCCCTTTAACAAGGGGCATTTCACAATATGCAAACAACATATGTACTATTCGCCCCCGAAATTAAACACAAGTTTTCAAAAACAAGTTTTCCTCCATTTTAAACAATGTTACACTTTAACATTCAACAATTCGACCCATTACCGATCATTCCACCCTTTCAACAAGAGGTATTTCACAATATGTAAACAACATATGTACTTTTAACATGTATCAACATTTCGCATTATTTTTCCAATTTCAACAATATATTTCAACATATATAGTGTTACAATCAACTTCCATATGAGGCAAGTTCCAAAACATACTTCCAATAAACCAAAACATTTTCAATGTTTCACAACTTAAGACATATATGAAAGCTCTTAAGTTCAACAACTGTTCAAAATTTAAATACAAGATCACATATCAACAAACAAGTCCGGATATTTCTCTCGGACTTCCAACTCACGTTCCCAAGTGGCTTCCTCCACTCCGTGATGTTTCCACAAGACTTTCACCAATGGAATGGTCTTGCCACGCAGGACCTGATCCACACAAAATTAAACCAATGATAATAGATCACATGGTAACGAATAAAATATAGAAACGAGTCAACAACACAAAATTAAACAAATGATAATAGATCATGATTACCAAGAAAATGACAACACACAATTAAACAAATAATAATAGATCATGATGTTAACAAACCAAGAAAATTGGAAAAAACAATGAGCAGTATTAATTAAAACAAAAAGAGAGAGAGAGCACAGAAATTCAAATAGAGCGCTTACTAGTCCATCACCACCACCGCCGGTATTAGAGGTGGCGATGGACGGTGGCGGAGGCACCACCTCAATCCCATAAACGGCCAGTGACTTGTTTCTTGCACTGGAGATGAAGGCTTGGCGTACATGGAGGATTATGATGATGGATCGCCAACGATGACTGGGACCACTAGTACTAGCTGTACTATTATCACCACCATCTTTCACTAAGAGATGACTCTGAGATTCAAGATCAAAATGATCATCACCAAAGCTTTCCCTTGACATGTTATGATCAGATCAGAAAGAATAGGACCAAACACTGATGATGAGGAGGGGCACAAGAACTATGGGTTATGGACTGCTGAGGGCGGGGGGAAAAGAGTGTAACATATATACATGGAGGGCAACACGTGGGAAGTTTCCATGCAACTTTTATAATAAAAATATATAATAACATAATATCTTCTCCTTTTTTTTTTGGTAAAACTTGAAATTAGTCAAAACGAAATGGCGGAATACAAAACTCGACGTTGTGATGCTCTATGGATTCATTTTGGCATTCGTTTTAATGATCTGAATTGTTCATATTTTAGAGTATATCGAGTAAAATATACTTGTAAAAGATCAAATTAATCGGATATCATTAATCCTTTCATCCACTCATATTTGTATTCATTTTAATACTTTAAATCACAATATCATATATTATTGTAAATACAAATATGAGTGAATAAAAGAGTTAACGAATATCATATATTATGTTATTATATATTTTTATTATAAAAGTTGCATGGAAACTTCCTACGTGTTGCCCTCCATGTATATATGTTACACTCTATCCCCCCACCCTCATCAGTCCATAACCCATAGTTCTTGTGCCCCTCCTCATCATCAGTGTTTGGTCCTATTCTTTCTGATCTAATCATAACATGTCAAGGGAAAGCTCTGGTGATGATCATTTTGATCTTGAATCTCAGAGTCATCTCTTAGTGAAAGATGGTGGTGATAATAGTACAGCTAGTACTAGTGGTCCCAGTCATCGTTGGCGATCCATCATCATAATCCTCCATGTACGCCAAGCCTTCATCTCCAATGCAAGAAACAAGTCACTGGCCGTTGATGGGATTGAGGTGGTGCCTCCGCCACCGTCCATCACCACCTCTAATACCGGCGGTGATGGTGATGGACTAGTAAGCGCTCTATTTGAATTTCTGTGCTCTCTCTCTCTCTTTTTGTTTTAATTAATACTGCTCATTGTTTTTTCCAATTTTCTTGGTTTGTTAACATCATGATCTATTATTATTTGTTTAATTGTGTGTTGTCATTTTCTTGGTAATCATGATCTATTATCATTTGTTTAATTTTGTGTTGTTGACTCGTTTCTATATTTTATTCGTTAGCATATGATCTATTATCATTGGTTTAATTTTGTGTCGTTCACTTAGTTTTTATATTTTTCTTGATTATATATGCCTTTTGTCTTGAGCTTGTATTCGAACTTTCTTATTTTCTTGTTATTAAATCACTCAAACTTCATTCATATATACCAACTAGTTTTGAATTAGATGTCCCTAGTAATTTTAACCCTTAGGCATGTTTGGTATGATTTCCATTTATAGTTTGTTAGCTATATTTAAAAATTTTGTTTAATATTTATTTTTTACAAATTTGCTAATTTTTTTGTAAACCCAACAAAAAATAACAATAACAAGCTAAATCATTTATTAAGAAGAAAAAAAATTCATTCCTTACTCCATCTTCCATTCCATCCAACCACCACCATATCCTCCTGTGTCCCTTCCATGTTTGGTGAAAAAAAGAGAGGATTACATTCATTTTATCCCCTCATACACTTTACCCCCTATGATTCAGATATAACAAAAAGAAAGAAGCTACGACTGAGTTAAATTTGGAGATGGAAGCCTTTTTTCGTTTTTCGACGGTGAAGTAAGTCTAAACTCATGAACTTATCATACTAAGTCAGAACAAGTTGATAGGATCTCTTTTTACGTCCCCATGCACCTCCTGTGCCGACACAGGGCCAAAAAAACGAAAGAGAAGGATGGAGTTTCTCTCGTTTTTGGCATTGAGGTTCCCAATGAAAGGCTCACAAGACGAGCTATTAGCTTAGTGGTAAAGCGTGCCTCTGATAATTGCTAGAAAATCTTTATAGATTTTAGATTAAAGTGTCACCGTTAATTTTTTCATTCAAATTAATGAAAAATGTATCACACATTATTTTTTAGAGTGAGTTTGATTTTCTAAAAAAAAAATTAAATTAAATTAATACAAGAAAAAGATAATTTTACTCTATTTTTTCTAAATCTAAAATTAGATTAATATGTTAATTAAAATAAAATATTATATTATTAAGAAGTGATTTAAAATATAATTAAATAAAAATATAAAATAAATAATAATTAAGAATTGAGAAAAAAAAAAAAAAAAAAAACTGAATGTAAATGGACGGGGTAATTTAGATGGCTGCATAGGGCTAATTTGGGAATGAAAAAAAGGATTAATATAGCTTTAAAACATATTCTAATGTGCTTTATCTAAAAGTACTACTATTAGCATCACATCAATTATTTGAGATCCTCTATTTTTTAGCCTTTTTTTTTATTATTTATTTATTACAATAATAACCTTAAATGAAATTACTAAAAAGGATATCAAAAATTTTGAGACACTCCATCTTACAATTAAACTTACACATCCACTACATCATGAGTTAGGGTTTATGAGACCATCCACCTCTATCACTACCCATCTATCTTTCCCAATTCCCATATTCAAAACCTACCTACCCTCAAAACTTTGAAAACCCTTCAACGGAAATATTCCGACAGCAATGGTGGCAGCCATTTGATCACATATATTTCTCCGGCAATGACAATGAGTGAAAGTTTTTTCAACAATCACAACTCTATGAGACGAAAGGAGTACAACAATAAAAATTTAGAAGAGGTTCATAACTATGATGTTGTTCTTAACTTAGAAGAGATTGGCCTTGTGAGGGTAAGTTTTTTGAAAAAGATGGCAAAAATAATAAAAACTGTTCGTCATTTTTTCGAGACTAAACTCCCGAACATATGACTGAAATTTGGCAACACAGGTCTAAACATTGTTTATTTATTCAGGAACAAGTAATTGAACATTTCTTATTTGTTCGGGAACAGATAACCGAAGCAGCAACAGAAATAGGCAAACAAAGGAGGTCAGACCACTCTTGGGTAGTCGACTAGTCAGTTGACGGGGTGAAATCCTGCCTAGTTTTGCTCACACAGAGAGTATACAAGTACAGTGAAATCATGGATAAATCACAGAAAACTAACCAAAGAAGCATGAAAGTAGATTGTGTTGTGCATGTGAAAAGAGGTAATAGAAAGAAAAGAAAAAAAAAAAATCAAACAAATTGACAAATCTTATAATAAAGCAGAGAAAAAATTTCTTAATCACCACAAATTTTTTTCGCTAGCTTTGGGAGGTTCCACCATTGTGAGTTTTGTTAAGGTTTTGAGAGAGGCTTTTTGGAGTGTGGGGGTGTGTATTTGAATGAGTGAAATATTTTTATAAGAATAATTTTGATATTATTTAGGGGGAGGAGAAAAGAAATTTTAAGAATTTTAAAATTTATAAGTAGTGGTCTAAATAAATGGAGTTCTAAAATAATTGATGGGTGTTAATCATCTTATCTAATAGAATAGATAATAAATATATACACATGCACATAAAAATGAGTGCAACAACCTTTTCATGGTATGATGAGTATTCCAACCAATCAATAGCATAGCAAAATACATGGCTCCTGTGGCGAAAACGAAATGGAAGAAGCCAAACCCGTATGGAACATCATCTTCAGACTCTCTTTCCTTCTTCTTAAACTGCACCTGTCGATGTTAGATGTGCATTTTTGTCAAAGCATTTTACTAATTGAAAGAGTTTGAGAGACACAAACCTGAAAACATTGGGAATCAATGCCTGTTGAAAATGTTGCAATAACAATTGCAAGTACTCCAACAACCAAGCTCTGTCAAGATATGAGATTCATGCAGTTATTTAGGGGAAAGATTCAAATACTAGGTACAATAGGAGTGACAACTCAGCTTTCTGATATATATGTGAACAAAATGGTAATGTAAGTATTGAGGTCCAAATTCCACTCTCTCTGAGGCCAGCTACCCGGGTGACATTTCATATGATTGGTAGGATGAACTTTTCAAGTCTGGGTAAACTGTACTCAGTGTTAAGAGTATAAGTTTGAATCCCTGCCTATGTGCGAGTCCGTGACTTACCGCTATATAATTGAGTGACCCTACTATATAGCAACCACATAAGGGTGACCTCTAGGGTCTCGACTCCTTATAGGGTCTAACCCTAGAGGTTCCCTCTTTGTGATTAGGCCTTTTAAAATGGTAATATAACAACAGCAAATATAACAACAACAAAAAAAAAAAAAATAATCATGAGTTGAGCCTCCAAGTTATTTGAACTCGTAAATAGATATGAAAAAGTCAAAGATTCTTCAAAAATCCAAATATTACTATGATGGTTAACCAGTCTCCTTTGGCTGCTGCTCCCACTTTCTTGATGCACTTTTCTTCCGGTGGTTCGCTGCAAACACAAAGGTGCAACTGTAAGTTTGTAAATTCAAAGATTAGGTGAAATTAAGGATAATTTGGTAAAGAATTTAGTTTACATTCAAAAAATCAAATAAGAAACTTGTGACTCAGGAGAAAAAACAAAGAAAAAAAAAGAGAAGAAAATGAAACCATGTGTCAGGTTTTCAGTTTAAAGTGACTGCTTTCCTTGTGAGCAAGTAGATTTATGACTGCATGGACAAGGTTACTGAGGACAAGAAAACACACATGTTGAAATTCCTCTACATACTTGCCAAGGGAGGAAAACAAACATTTTTCTACTGACGAATTCTCACAATTTTACACTTGGTTTTGCATATGATGATCAATACCAATAATTTTTGAGAAATAATGTGGAAGAGAACCAGAGAGCAAAAATAAGAATTAGAGGGAGGAAGAGAGAAGAGGAAGAGGAAGAGGAAGAGGTCAACAAAAATTAGGGTTCCAATAATCTCAATCATGCAAAAAAGTAAGTTTCTCATACACCCTCTGTATATATATAAATTATATTCTACTCTCTACTAAGGGCATATGAAAAAATAAAATAAAAACTAGAAATAATCCAAATAAGGAAACAAAAAGCCTAATAAAACTAAAATTAATGCCTACTGCGCCTAATATACATCTTCAATCCTCCTCTTCGTTGATCCCCATTGGAACAACTTCATGGTAATATTGCGTGATTAGAAATGGGCCTATTGTTGTGTTTGAAGTTTTTAAATATTTATTTATTTTCTGGCGTGAGGGGTGTTTAGGCTTGTTCCAGCTTACATGCACAATATGAGGTTTATGAATGATGCATTCTAAGCAGAGCAGTAAATTTTTGAATATTATAATAGCATTAGAGTATTAGAAACCAAGCCTTCTTATGGCACTCCAGCAGAGGAACACCACATAAAGCCCCATAAGCCCTGGTGTCAAGAAGCCAGCATTCACCTGTTTCACACACAAATTATGTGTGTATATATATAATTTATTTTGAAACAGGAATGAACTGAAGCAGATACTGAAGATTGAAACTTACTTTTGGGTGGAGAGAGACACTGGTCATGAGTTGGAGGAGTACTAGTGTCCAGGTGATGAAGAAAATGTTAAGAAGGCACGATGAGTCTGGTGCATACCAAATGTACATCGAAATGATCCCCATAATGCATAAAACATATGCAGTTGTTGCAAGTAACATCACTTGGATATGGCTGCAATGCAAAAAACACTCTAATTAGCCACAATTCCCAGGTCATTATAAAACACAACTGGATATGCCATGTTTTTAAAACATAATTTTTAAATTTGAAGTTGTGTTTTCAACACCCGACTTCACTGAATTGTTGTTCCACAGATTCACAGTAGTTCGTGAAGTCATGTTTTTATCCCACAAATTTAAGGAAAATGATTGGTGGCCCTAAAAAATTTGCCCCTAATGCCCCTAATTTCCATTTTTGGAAACTGTTTTCTTTTTTCCTTTCTTTTTTCCTTTTTTTTTTTTTTTTTTTTTCTAAAAGGGGAATTTCGGGGCATTCGAGCCCCGAAATTTAGGGCCCTCAAGTGGATTTTTTTTTTTTTTTTTTTTTTTTTATCATGGTGATGAAGGATGAATAAAAAGAATAAAGGTGGGAGTGGGGAACAGGGCGAAGCAAGAGCACCAATGAAGCTTATAATAAAAAAATAAAGTTTGGGCGGTGGAACTTTTCATCTGTTTTTCAAAGTAAGTCGTAGCAAAGACAGTTGGAGATAATAAGCAACTACGAAGGTGGCCATGATAGTGATCGAGTTTGATCATGATTGTCTACGGGAGGTGGTCAATCAAAAGAGCTGTAAAAAAAAAAGAAGAGAAAACGACGAGAGAAATAAACTATTTTGTCATTTGTGAAAAATTTCTACACATTTTTAGTTATTTTTACATCATCCCACCTCTATTTTACTTACTTTAATTATTTCCTAATTTATAATTAGTTCTTATAGTACTCACATTTTTTTTACATCTTAAATATTAATACTACAAAAATAAATACTAATTTTAGGGTTGGTTTGGGATGTCCTAAAAAAGTGCACTTTTTGACTTATTGGTGGGTTTGGGTTGGGTTTGGGTTGGGTTTGATGTGATGTGTTAGAGAGGTGATGTGATTTAAATAAGATGATGTGACTTAAATAAGATAGTGACTTTTTGACTTTTTGACTTATTTAGTACATGCCAAACTAGCCCGTAGTACACAATCGAACATGACACCCACATATAAAAGAAAATGCTTAATATCCTAAGACATTTATGTTAAAATTGTTGTATTATTGATTGTTGTATTGATGTAAATTACAGATGGTGAGGTACTCTTTATATAGGGAATGTAGTAAGTGAAGTGAAGTGGTAGGTGTAGTAGGTGATGGTAGTAGGTAGTGGTAGGTGTAGTAGGTGATGGTAAGATGGTAAGTTTTAACAGCCCCCCGCAAACTCAAGGAGGATAGAAACTAACAAACTTGAGTTTGGAGAGAGGAACAAAACAAGAAAATACAGAAAAATAAAAGAGGATAGGAGACACTGTATGGTCGTGTCAGACCGTTGGTGAAGGCACTGTATGGTTGTGTCATAACGTTGTAGAGGACATTGGATGGTGGTGTCATAACGTTGTAGAGGACACTGGATGGTGGTATCATAACGTTGTAGAGGACACTGTATGCTAACCGGAATTAATGTCGGGACAGTTTATGGGGTCATGTCGGACCGTTGAAAAAGCTAACCGGAATCAAATGTCGGGACAGTTTATGGGGTCATGTCGGACCGTTGTAAAAGTCGCACCCTCAAAAGGTGTGCCCAATTTTGTCAAAAGACGTGCCATCAAAAGGCGTGCCCAATTCATCAAAAGGTGTGCCGGATAGGATGGCGAGGCACGTAAGCGCCTTGGCTGGCGCGCCCGTTTTGTCGTCTGGCGGCAAGAGGCGCGCGATGCGCGTGTCTGCCTCGGCTATTTAACCAAGACGGAGGCTGAGGCTGAGGCAGAAGCTGAGACAAAAAAACTGAGAGAAACCTCTGAAAAAAACTCTTCCTTTGCTGAGAGAGAAACTCTGTAATACACTGTAACACTCTGTTGCCCAGAAAATGGCTTCGTCTTCCCGTGGGCTGCTCACTCTCTTTCCCGACCTCAATGAGTGAAATAACTGGTGCGGTGGCCAGTGAACCTCAACCAAACATCTCTGGTTTTGCTCCGTTGAACTTTCCGATGCGGTCGGTGGAGCAAAAAATGGCGGTGCAAACTGATATTGAAGCCAATCAGTATACTCTGAAGTCATGTGTGGAAACCATGACTGAGGTCACAAACTTGTCGCACCGGCTGCAAAGCAGGACAAATGAGGTGCAACAGTTAAACTCCCAGCTAGCTCTGCTCCAACGCATGTATAACGATGCGCGAGCAGAGATAAGTGTGCTAAAGGCAGAAAACAAGGAGCTAAAGTGGAAGGCCACCGTGATGTTCCGATTTGGGGGGGGTGGGGTTTTTTGGGGGGTTTCTTTTTTTTTTTTTTTTTTTTTTTTTTTTGTGTTGGATGTAAAATTGTAATCGGGGTTGATCCCTGATATGAATAAAATATGGGTTGTTGTGCAAATTTGTAAATTGTTTTGGGTTTTGTTTTTGGATGTTTTTTTTTTTTTTTTGTGTGTGTGTGTGTGTTTTTTTTTTTTTTTTGATGAGCATGGTGATGATGAATATATAAGGATGAATAAAAAATAAATAAAGGTGAGAGGGGGAACAGGGCGAATCAAGAGCACCAATTAAGCTTTATAATAAAAAATAAAGTTTGGGCGGTGGATGGGTTGTAGTTTTTTTTTTTTTTTTTTTTTTGTGTGTGTGTGTTGGGTGTGTATCCATGAAAGAGAGCTTTATAATAAAAAAATAAAGTTTGGGCGGTGGATGAGTTTATTAAAAAAAAAAGAATGTGGGTTGATTAAAGTGGGTTCATTCATCAACTTCATGGCCTCAATGATGTAGAGAACCTGTCCCTTCTGTACTTTGTCTCCAACCTTAACAAGCGGTGGTTCACCAGGTGCCGAATGCCAGAATGGTAGAATGTCCCTGCCATGGGGCATTTAAGAGGTGGAAGGGATGACTTAGCTGACTTGGCAGCAGGTGGAGAAGGTGATACAGATGATGAAGGTGTGGGTGCAGAAGGAGCAGCCGTAGATGGGGGCAACTGGAAAGTTGGTGGTGCTGCAGCTGGTGAAGGGGGTGACTGCAATTCCACAATATCCCTGGAATCAACTAGCTTGACAAGATTTGCAACTTGCTCCTCCCAACCCAACACAAACCAAGCGCCAGAGTGTGTTTTAAAGACAGAAAAAGACTCCCTTCAATTCAGATTCGATGAAACCAAAGTAAGCTTCCCTTCAGAGAGAGAGAGAGATGAGAGTTGAGTGGATCCATCATGGTCAGTTTGCTTGATTGGTTCCCTCCATACAAGTATCATGTGTGTGCTTATATCAATTGTAGAGAGAGAGTTTGGTGGTGTTGCCGTGAGAGCTTTGACTGTGCATGTTTTTGTTTTAGTTCAGATCATTGTCTAACCCGAGAGAGAGAGTGCATGTGTTGAGAGAGAGAGGGAGAGAGATTGATGCCGAGAGTGAGAGAGAGAAGTGTGTTGCATGTTTGGTGTGTGTCTTAGAGAGAAAGCAACCTAGGAATGTCTAGATAGAGAAGAGAGAGATGGGTTTGGTGTGTGTTGTCTATGTCTGTGCATGTGTGTCCCCGTGTGTGTATGTGTGCATGGTGTGTGTATAATGTGTTGAGAGAGAAGAGTGTGAATGGTGTCTATGTGTGGCTGGTCTGTGTTGGGTGTGCTGGGTGTGTTCTGCCATTGAAGAAGAAATTAGGGAAATTTGGGTTTGTCCGGCGGGCGGCCAAAGCGAGATTGCCGCCCACCGGTGGAACGAAAATACTAGGTTCTTAACCTAGCTCTGATACCATGTAAGATAAATTGATAGAGAGAGATACAGAGAGAATGAATTATGTATTGATTGATTGATTTATATTGATTGTATTGTATGTACATTATATAGGAGATGTAAAGTGGAGATGGAGTGGAGTAGGTGAAGTGGAGGTGGTAGTGATGTAGTGGGTTAGGTTTAGTGGAGTAGGTGAGGTGGTAGTGGTGTAGTGGGTTAGGTTTAGTGGAGTAGGTTTAACACTTAAAAACAAGAAAATAGACAAACAGTATCACATTGTCATTGTCCAAAGAAGAAGAAAAAAAAAGGTTTCCCATCTAAATAGGACAATTTTGAAGCGTAGATGATAGGAGACACGGTATGGTCGTGTCAGACCGTTGTAGGAGACACGGTATGGTCGTGTCAGACAGTTTACGGGGTCATGTCGGACCGTTGTAGAAGCAGACCGGAATCAATGTCGGGACAGTTTACGGGGTCATGTCGGACCAATGTAGCAGACACTGTGTAGTCATGTTAGACCGTTGTAGAAGACAGTTTATGGGGTCATGTCGGACCGTTGTAGCAGGACAGTTTACGAGGTCATGGCGGACTGATTGTAGCAGACACTGTGTGGTCGTGTCAGACCGATGTAGAAGACAGTTTATGGGGTCATGTCGGACCGTTGTAGAAGCAGACCGGAATCAATGTCGGGACAGTTTACAGAGTCTTGTCGGACCCCTTAAAAGTCGCACCCTCAAAGGTGTGCCCAATCTTTCAAAAGGCGTGCCATCAAAAGGCGTGCCCAATCTATAAAAAGGCGTGCCATCAAAAAGCGCGCCCATGTTATCGTCGAGCGCCGAGCGGCGCATGATGCGCGTGTCTGCCTTGGCTTGCGCGCCCGTTTTGTCGTCTGGCGTCAAGTGGCGCGCGATGCGCGGATCGGCCCTGGCTATTTAAACCAAGGTTGAGGCGGAAGCTGTGCAAACCAGTCTGAAACCGCTGAACATTTTCATTCTGAAATACCTGAATATTTGCATTCTGAAACATCTGAACAATGGCCTCTTCTTCCCGTTCAGCTACCCAGAATATGGCCTCTTCGTCCCGTGGTCTACTCACTCTCTTTCCCGACCTCAACGAGTCAACAAGAGAGATAACCAGTGCGGTGGCCAGTGAACCTCAACCAAACACCTCTGGTTTTGCTCCGTTGAACTTTCCGATGCGGTCTGTGGAGCAAAAAATGGCGGTGCAAACTGATATTGAGGCCAATCAGTATACTTTGAAGTCATGCGTGGAAACCATGACTGCGGTC